ACTACATGGAAACTGAACAACCTGCACTGGAATGACTTTTGGGTAAGTAATGAAATTAAGGCAGAAATCAAGAAGTTCTTTGAAACTAATGAGAATGAAGATAAAATGTACCAGAATCTCTAGGATGCAGCTAAAGCAGTGTAAAGAGGAAAATTTGTTGCACTAAATACCCACATCAAAAAGTTAGAAAGAACTTGTTAAAAACCTAACATCACAACAAAAAATCTAGAGGACAGGAGCAAACAAATGCCAAAGCTAACAGAAGATTATAAATAACCAAGATCACAGCTGAACTGAAGGAGATAGAGACATAAAAAAAAAAAACCTTCAAAAAATCAATGAATTCAGTAGCGGGTATTTTGAAAAAAATTAATAAAATAGATAAACTTCTAGCTAGGCTAATAAAAAAAAAAAGAAGAGATTAAAATAAACACAATCAGGTGGGTGTGGTGACTCACGCCTATAATCCCTACACTTTGGGAGGCCGAGGCGGGTCGATCACAAGGTCAAGAGATCAAGACCACCCTGATCAAAATGATGAAACTCCATCTCTACTAAAAATAGAAAAATTAGCTGGACATGGTGATGCATGCCTGTAGTCCCAGCTACTCAGGAGGCTGAGGCAGGAGAATCGCTTGAACCCAGGAGGGGAAGGTTGCAGCGAGCCGAGATAGCGCCACTGCACTCCAGTATGGTGATAGAGACTCCGTCTCCAAAAAAAAAAAAACCACAATCAGAAACATGGGGGATATCACCACTAACCCCACGGAAATACACACAACCATCAGAAACTATAAACAACACCTCCATGCACACAAACTAGAAAATTAAAAGAAATACATAAATTCCTGGACATGAATACCCTACCAAGACTGATCCAGGAAGAAATCAAATCCCCAAATAGACCAATAATAAGTTCTAAAATTGAAGCAGTAATTAATAGCCTACCAATCAAAAAAAGCCCAGGACCAGAGGATTCACAGCTGAATCCTATCAGAGGTTAATTTAAAAAAAAAAGAGGGAGCTGGTACCATTCCTACTGAAACTATTCCAAAATATTAGGCCAGCATCATTCTGATACCAAAACCTGGCAGAGATAACAACAAAAAAAGAAAACTTCAGGCTAGTATCCTTGATAAACATTGATGCAAAATTCCTCAACAAAATACTGGCAAATCAAATCCAGCAGCACATCAAATAACTTATCCACCACAATCAAGTAGGCTTCATCCCCATGAGGCAAGGCTTGTTCAACATACACACATCAATAAATGTGATTCATCACATAAACAGAACTAAAGATGAAAACCACATGATTATCTCAATAGATATAGAAAAGACCTTTCATAAAATTAAACATCACTTCACGTTAAAAACTCTCAATAAACTAGGTATTGAAGGAACATACCTCAAAATAATAAGAGTCAGATATGATAAATCCACAGTCAATATCATACTGAATGGTCAAGGGCTGGAAGCATTTCCTTTGCAAACTGGCACAAAACAAGGTTGCCCTTTCTCACCACTCCTATTCAACATAGTACTGGAAGTCTTAGCCAGAGTAATCATACAAAAGAAATAAAAGGCATCCAAATTGTTAAAGAGGAAGTTAAACTGTCACTGTCTCCAATGGTATGATTGTATACCTAGAAAATCCTAAAGACTCATGTAAAAAGCCCTTAGATCTGTTAAACGAATTCAGTAAAGTTTAAGGATACAAAATCAATGTATACAAATCAGTAGCACTGCTATAAACCAACAGTGACCAAGCCAAGAATCAAATCAAGAACTCAACCCCTTTTATAATAGCTGCAAAAAATAAAGTACTTAGGAATATACCTATCCAAGGATGTGAAAGACCTCTACAAGGAAGAGTGCAAAATATGGCTGAAAGAAATCATAGATGAAAGAAACAAATGTAAGAACATCCCATGCTCATGGATAGGTAGAATCAATATTGTAAAAATGACCATACTGCCAAAAGCGATCTAAAAATTCAATGCAATTTCCATCAATATTCCATTATCATTCTTCACAGAACTAGAAAAAAGCTATTCCAAAATTTATATGGAAGTATAAAAGAGCCTGCATAGCCAAAGTAAGGCTGAGTACAAAGAAGGAATATGGAGGCATTACATTACCCAACTTCAAATTATACTGCAAGGCTATAGGTACCAAAACAGCATGCTACTGGTATAAAAATAGGCATATAGACCAATGGAACAAAATACATAACCCAGAAATAAAGCCAAATACTTACAGCCAACTGATCTTCGACAAAGCAAACAAAAACGTGAAGGAGCGAAAGGACACCCTATTCAACCAATAGTGCCGGGATAATTGGCAAGCTTTATATAGAAGGATGAAAGTGGATCCTCAACTCTCACCTTATACAAAAATCAACTCAAGATGGATCAAATACTTTAAATCTGAGACCTGAAACCATAAAAGTTCTAGAAGGTAACATCAGAAAAACTCTTCTAGACATTAGCTTAGGCAAAGAGTTAATGACCAAGAACCCAAAAGCAAATGCAAGAAAAACAAAGATAAATAGATGGGACTTAATCAAACTAAAAAGCTTCTGCACAACAAAAATCTTAATAATAATCAGCAGAGTAAACAAACAACCTATAGAGTGGGAGAAAATATTCACATGCTACGTATCTTACAAAGGACTAATGTTGAGAATCTACAAGGAACTCAAACAAAGCCGCAAGGAAAAGAACAAATAATCCCGTTAAAAAGTGGGCTAAAACATAAATAGGCAATTTTCAAAAGAAGATATGCAAATGGCCAGCAAACATATGAAAAAATATTCAGTAATGATCAGGGAAATGTAAATCAAAAGCACAATGCAATGCCACCTTACTTCTGCAAGAATGGCCATGATTAAAAAATCAAAAAATAATAGATGTTATGGTGGATGAGGTGAGGAACACTTTTACACTGCTGGTGGGAATGTAAACTAGCACAACCACTATGGAAAACAGTGTGGAGATTCCCTAAAGAACTAAAAGGAGATCTACCATTTGATCCACCAATCCCACTACTGGGTATCGGCCCAGAGAAAAATAAGTCATTATATGAAAAAAACACTTGCACACACATGTTTATAGCAACACAATTCACAATTGCAAAAATATGAAACCAGGCTGGGCGCGGTGGCTCATGCCTGTAATCCCAGCACTTTGGGAGGCCGAGGTGGGTGGATCATGAGGTCAGGAGATCAAGACCATCCTGGCTAACATGGTGAAACCCCGTCTCTACTAAAGATACAACAAATTAGCTGACATGGTGGCAAGCGCCTGTAGTCCCAGCTACTCCGGAGGCTGAAGCAGGAGAATAGTGTGAACCTGGGAGGCGGAGCTTGCAGTGAGCCGAGATCGCGCCACTGCACTCCAGCCTGGGTGACAGAGCGAGACTCCATCTCAAAAAAAAAAAAAAGAAAAGAAAGAAACCAGCCAATGCCCATCAATCGACTCGATAAAGAAAATGTTTTTTTATATATACTTATATATATATAATACACACACACACACACCACTAAATACAACTCAGCCAAAAATAGGAAAGAAATAATGGTATTCCCAGCAACCTGGATGGAATTGGAGACCACTATTTTAAGTGAAGTAACTCAAGAATGGAAAATCAAACATTATATGTTCTCACTTATAAACGGGAGCTGAGCTATGACAACACAAAAACATAAGAATGTTACAATGAAACTTGTGGACTTGGGTGGAAGGGTGGAAGGGGGTGAGGAATAAAAGGCTACACATTGGGTACAGTGTACACTGCTCAGGTGACAGGCATACCAAAATTTCCGGAATTCTGTGCATTAAATAACCTATCCATGTAACCAAACACTACCTGCTCCCCAAAAACCACTGAAATAATACTAATAATAAACAAACAAAAAGAAAACAGGAACATATACACCATGGACTGCTACTCAGCCATAAACAGGAATGAAACTATGTCATTTCAGTAACTTGGATGGAACTGGAGGTCATTATTCTCTGTAAAGTAACTCAGGAATCTATAAGCAAATAGTGCACCATCTCACCTAGAAGTGAAAGCTAAGCTATGGGTCCACAAAGGCATGCAGTGTAGTATAGTAAACATCAGAGACTCAGAAGTGGGGAGGGTGAGAGGAGGGTGACGGAGGAGAAACTGCCTGTTGAGTAAAATGTAAACTAACTGGGTGATGAGTGCACTCAAATCCCAGACTTCAACACTATACAATTCATCTATGGAACCAAAGACAACTTGTACTCCTAAAGCTATTGAAACACACTTAAAAAAATTTAACAACAAAACAATAATAATAATAAGCTCGAATTTTAAAACACTCATATGAACTTATTTTGTAAGTACTGATATCATGGAATTTCTTGTTCTGTGTGCCGTACCTACATGGAATTGGGCATTAATGTCTACTACAGGCATCACAAAAGTCTTTTAATGGTGTATTTGAAGAGAATCCACAACTACACAATTTACCTATAGAACCTAAAACCACAGGTACCCCTACAAATATTGAAATAACAAAGTATATTCAATGTTTTCTTAGCTCAGCTGTGACCGCGGGTCAACAGGTCAGTGAGGTCAAGGCTGGCTTCTCAGGACCTCATGGCATTCCCATCATGGGCAATGGCAGGGTAGCTCAGCTCAGGCTCCCTTCCCCCTTCAAAGGGGAAAAGGAGCTTGAGGGGGCTGAGGGGAAAACCGGTGACAGTCACATGTGATTCTTTTCTCAGGAAAGCTTTGGCTTATCCGGAGTCAAATCTGCCGGAGGCTTTTTGAAGAAGATTTTCATGAGTGTCACTTTTGGGGAGAAAATGTCACAGGAGAATCCCTGACAGAGAAGTGACCATTTCAAATTTTTCAAATTTCCATACCCCCTCCAACCCCCTCCCGGAACACTTCATTCTCAAAGGAACTGATAAAACGTCATGATCTCATGCCTTGGTGTTTGGGAGCAGATGCGTACGTTGGCTAACTTTCGACTTTGCTAAAAATTTTTTTTTTCACTGTCAATATTTCCATGACGATGGAAAAATATAAGCTTTCAGATGATCTTTCACACCTAGAACTTTAGGTGACCCACCCACCTACCATCCCTCCCACAAGGCACATGCCACAGGTTTGTTCCTCCCTGGGGTGTGTGCAGAACCCGGGGACTTGATTGGATTTTCACAACCCTGATGAGCTTGAGGATCTAGTGAAGCAGGGAGTACAATGGAAGGTAGCTGGGTGGGTTTAATGCAATCATCTGAGCCCTTTATAAGAGGCAGGGCTTTACTGAGACCACAGAGATCTCCAGTCAGAAAGAGACTGCCTGCGAGGGACATTCCTGGCAGCTGCTGTGAAGACTAAAGAAACCCAGGACCCTGTGGGGAGAATAAACAACCCAGCCTCTGCCCCACAGACCTGAGAGCTGGTAAGTCTGGGGCTGGGTTTGCAGGGACTAAGTGTGTAGGAGGGTCATGCGCATGGATCTCAACTCACAGGCTCTCTGAATCCTGTCCACAGCACCACTGCTCTCGCTCTCTGACACCAGCACCGCCTGCAGCCGGCCAGGCTCGGCCCAAGGAGAGGGGAGAGGCTACAGCCCAGCCCATGGCGCGCACCAAGCAGACCGCCCGCAAAGCCACCGACTGGCAGGCCCCCAGGAAGCCCCTGGCCACCAAAGCAGCCGCCAAAGGGGCGCCGCCTAGAGGAGGGATCAAGAAGCCTCACCGCTACAAGCCTGGCACCCTGGCGCTGCGCGAAATCAGAAAGTACCAGAAGTCCACGCAGCTGCTCCTCCGCAAGCTGCCTTTCCAGCGCCTGGTGCGCGAGATCGCCCAGGCCATCAGCGTGGACCTGCGCTTCCAGAGCGCCGCCATTGGCGCCCTGCAGGAGGCCAGCGAGGCCTACCTGGTGAGCCTCTTTGAAGATACCAACCTGTGTGCCATCCATGCCAGGCGCGTCACAATTATGCCCAGAGACATGCAGCTGGCCCGCCGCATCCGCGGAGAGGGTGCTTAAGACCCCAAAGGTAGCTAAGCATAGGATTGGGAGTGGAAACAGGCAGAAATCAGGTCTTGGTGGTGTTTCTGTGTGCTTTTGTCAATGTCTAATCTACCTTGAGGGTTATAAGGCACTAGTGTCAAGTGGGAAGTTTCAGTGAGCAAGTTTCAGCACTTCAACTCTACATCAATTTTCAAGAAACCTGTTCATTTTCACTGGACTATGCCTGTGTTTAGACTACTTCAAACCAAATAAATCTCTTCCTGATGGCAACTCGGTGATGTTTATTTAACTTGATCAGTAGATGAGATCCGCACTTTGACTTTTCCGTATGCAGCTCTGTGTTTGCGATGTTCCCTGTGTCCTGGGCTGTTCCTACTAGTTTGCTATGAACACACATTCAACTCCACTTCCTAAGATACAAATAGACTCTCTATCCACAAGGCACTTCACATTATGGGAGGCAGTGTGACTGTGTTTGTGGGTAGGAAAGGGAAAGAGGAAGCCTTTAGAAGTCTGATGCTGTCCATCTCTGGCAGTTTAGCGTCCTAGAACGTGGTCACATCCATGGCCATGACTGGAATGACCCAGGTGTTGGTAGGGGAGGTAGTAGGAGAGGCCCTGGAAGTCTATGAGGTATGAGGAGACACGCCCCCACTGCAGCCAAACCATTTGAGTCAGGCAGACTGTCCCTTCAAGTTTAAGGGACACTTTTATTATTTATTTATTTATTACTTTTATTTTATTTTATTGTTTGTTTTTGAGACAGAGTCTGGCTGTGTCACCCAGGCTGGAGTGCAGTGGCGAGATCTTGGCTCACTGCAAGCTCCGCCTCCCGGGTTCATGCCATTCTCCTGCCTCAGCCTCCTGAGTAGCTGGGACTACAGGCACCTGCCACCACTCCCGGCTACTTATTTTGTGATTTTAGTAGGGACGGGTTTCACCGTGTTGGCCAGGATGGTCTGGATCTCCTTGCACCCACCTGGGCTCCCAAAGTGCTGGGATTACACGTGGGAGCCACTGTGCCCAGCCTTTTTTTTTTTTTTTTTTTTTTTTTTTTTTTTTTTTTTTTTTGAGATGGAGTCTCGCTGTCTCAGTTCACTGCAACCTCCAACTCCCTGGTTCAAGCGATTCTCTTGTCTCAGCCTCCTGTGTAGCTGGGATTACAGGCAAGCGCCACCAGGCACAGCTAATTTTTGTATTTTTAGTAAAGGCACAGTTTCACTATGTTGGCCAAGATGGTCTCAATCTCCTGACCTCATGATCTGCCCACCTCGGCCTCCCAAAGTGCTGGGATTACAGGCGAGAGCCACCACGCCCGGCCTAATTTTTCCTTTTTTTTTTTTTTTTTTTTTTGAGATGGGAGTCTCGCTCTGTAGCCAGGCTGGAGTGCAGTTGTGCGATCTTGGCCCACTGCAACCTCCAACTCCCTGGTTCAAGCCATTCTCCTGCCTCAGCCACCCAAGTAGCTGGGACGACAGGCAAGTACCACCATGTACAGCTAATTTGTTGTATTTTTAGTAGAGACGGGATTTCACCATGTTGGCCAAGATGGTCTTCATCTCCTGACCTCATAATCTGCCCACCTCGGCCTCCCAAAGTACTGGGATTACAGAGGGCCACACTTTTAACAACTACCAAAAAATTATGTGATCTTAGACTCAAGGCCAGAAAAGAAATCGTGGTGGGGAAAGTACTTTCTCCATGTTCCCTATGACAGAAGACTTTGTGGGCCAGAACTTCAGTGTCTCAATCTACCCTGAATTTACCCACAATTTTAATATCTTCCTCAAACCCTTAAATTGGTCACATCTGGAGGAAGGAAGCAACCTATATCATAATCATTTTGACTAAATATTTGGATCGTTTCTGACATCTGAGTTTTTTTCTACATCTTACTATTTGGAAGAATAAACTTGTATGGGCCTTTAGCACCCTCCGGACAGCAAACTGCTTTGAAAGAGAAACCCCTTCCAAGAGACTGTGGTGATTTCACACTGAAGACAGAAGTTGCTCTGCCTTAGGACTGCTTTTCCTGGGTTTTATTTTCTTATCATGATCAGTTACTAGTTCATATTTTCTGTTGAATTTTTTAAAAGGCATTATTGATGAGATTATGGCTTTCTCACAAACAATACTTCTTTGGTGAAAGTGGATTGAAATAAACAAAACTTAAATTTTTCAATGCTTTTCACGTCCAAGAGTTGAACATGGCATGGTAGCTGAAGGAGTAGGAGGCAGATTTTGAGAAACATGATTTTTTCAGTTTAGATCATTTCAAACTTTTTGTTTTTATCCAAACTACAGAAAGTGTTAATGAGTTGTCAATTCAAAGGTCATTACAAAGAAATTTTTGAAGCTGCATCACAATGTAATTTTTGAATTATGATCTCAAAAAATTTGAATAATTGGATGGCATTGCTGTGGCAAAACAAGGTTTTTCAGCTCTTTCATCTTTAAAAACCAAAACCTGATGCTGAATCATCTTGTTTTACCAAACAGTAGTATGCCCCCTTGAATATGTGGCTAAGAAAAACTAATTAAAAATTAAAAGAAAAACTTCATCTATCTCATTAACAGGTTCATACAAAAGAAAATATTTCCTCATAAAATAGACTGCTAGATATTCCTAGACTCGGCACTAACTTGAAATTATATGACACGTCTCTCCAATATTCGTGATACTTATTAAACTATTAAAATGATCTGACTCCATTCATTTTGTGAGAGCATGGCACCCTTCTCCGCTATATATGAAAGTTACCACTCTACTTCATATCCTTCTTCATAGAAAACATAATTCCATCAAATTATTATTAAAACTTGTTTAATTGGGGTACAACCTTTTGATTACTTGTACCTTTGAAGACCAAACCCTAGATAGTTTGCACTTGGAAACAGTGCAGCTGGATTATTAAACTTTATTTGGACACAGGCTAAGTACTTTTGGGGGGCAAAGGCAGGCAGAGCAGATGTTAAGGTTATTCCAGAATGATCCTAAATTATTGAAAATAACTGAAGTTGTAGGCCATACACAGTGGGTCACACCTGTCATCCCAGCACTTTGGTGGCTCTCTTGAGGTCAGGGGTTCAAGACCAGCTTAGCCAACAAGGTGAAACTCCATCTCTACTAAAAATACAAAAATTAGCCAGTGTGATGGCACATGCCTCTAATCCCAGCTATTCTGGAGGCTGAGGCAGGAGAATTGTTTGAACCTGGAAGGCAGAGGATACAGTGAACTAAGATCAAGCCACTGTATGCCAGCCTGGGCAACCCAGCAAGACTCCATCAAAAAAAAGGAAAAGAAAGGGAGGGAGGGAGGGAAGGAAGGAAGGAAGGAAGGAAGGAAGGAAGGAAGGAAGGAAGGAAGGAAAGAAAGAAAGGAAGGAAAGGAAGGAAGGAAGGAGGGAGGGAGGGAGGGAGGGAGGGAGGAAGGAAGGAAGGAGAGAGAAAGAAAGAAAGAGAGAGAGAGAAAGCTGTAGTGCAGTCCTTCATTTGTTAGTCATCTCCTCACTACCTCACCAGTTCCAACCAGAGGCCACATTTTCTGGCGGTCTGCAAATGTCCATTATGAGATGAGCACTAGCCATGCCCAATGAAGCTCCCAGGGGAAAACCCATTGTTATTAACATGTAATACAACCTTCCATCAAGATTTTCCTGGAAAGCTATCTACAGATTTTTCTTCTTGACAACTGTGGCTATGTGATATTACACATTGAGAAGATTTAGAATGTGTGGGGACACTGAACCTTCTCAGCTAATGGGTTTTCCTCTTTGAAAAACAACACTGTGTTTCTGCTCCTGAACTGACCTCTGAGACCTTGATGGGATCTTGCTTCTGTCTTCAGCAGTTCTTTACTCAGGTCAGTGAAAAGCACTGAGAGTTCTCTCTTGGGAGCCAGAAAAATGTTCCTAACCTTGTGTGTCCAATCACTACCCTCACTGCTATGTGTAGATTTTGTCCCCCACCTCCAGGTTGCTTGGGTTCTCTTTACTTCTAAGAGAGCACTACGCTGCCACATCGGCAGAACACAGCTTCCAAGACTCCCAGTGCATTGGAAGAACGACCTAAGAGTAGTATAAAGACTACATGTGAGACCCTTGGATCTTACTTATTTTGGTTGCTCAAGCACTTCTAATTTCTGAAGAGTCCTCCCAACTCCATGAATTCTTCCAGGTCTGTATTCTCCACATTCCCTCCCTTACACCCAGTAGTCTAACTTGTTAAATACCTTTACAAGGAAGTTGGTATAATAAAATGAAAGCTATGACATGTCAAAATGTGGTGGTGTGAAACAGAATGTCCCCATTCTTGGTAAAGTTCCAAAAGTTTCTACTCACCCAGTCAAAGACAGGTTCGATGTACCGTAAAGTACCACGAAGAGCAAAGCTAAGTTTCAAAAATAAATAAAGCAACAGTTTTGAGGAGCATATTTGGCTTCAGGAAAAAATAATTGATGGTACTTACTGCTCAATATTAGAGCAATTGGAAGAGAGCTTTAGATCTATTTGCTCCTACTCTGTGATTGAGGAGGCAAAGGGGCGAATAAACACCGAACTGCACATCGGGAAGCTATAGTGGAAGTGTTCACAATGATTTGATAATAAATCTCAGATCATTATTTTAAGATGGAAAAGAACTTCTTTGCCATAATAAAGTTAAAAATGCTAGAGTATGTATAAGGAGACTGGCAAGTAGCATAACTCCTGATGAACCTACTTTGTTCCATATAATAAAGGTAATATGGAACTAATAAAAAGTAAAAGTAGAGGTATATACAAGGACACAATGGGATGACTTTATAACTACTGATGAATTACTTTATTCCATATGTCGTAATTTCTGTCCTATGTTGCTGTACTCAGGTTTGATTTTCTGCGCAGATGGCCTCTAGAAAGCATAAAATCCCAAAAATGCTCCTAATGAAACAAGTGTTTTAAATAAATTTGAGTGCCTTTTATAGGCTTACTTTAGTGGTATGACCCACATAAAAACGAAGCCGAAGGATCAATAAGCTCTCTCTATACGTGTCTTTTAAAAGTGCGGATGGCATTACAAATGGGTGTTCACAGACAGGTGGTTTCGTACTCTGTTCCTCTCTCTCTAGTCTTACAAGTACTCCTACGCGTGTTAATTGCCAATAATGTAGATAGCCACTTGCCGACATAAAGCAAGGAGGGAGGGAACATATATATGAGAAGAAGTCAAATAAGAGAAAACCATGCTTTGTGATTTTGTTTTATTTCCTCAGTTTGAAACGTTC